CCTGTCTTGCTGTCATCTTGAAAGCTCTTGGGATGTTTATTTTGAAAAAAGTTTTGGTATTGATAGTGGTGATGAGCATGCTCCTACAGTGACAAATGTTTGATTAGGATGACTTGTAAGGGCCAAGGCAAGATTTTTAGACAAACAAGACCAAGAGGATCAGAGATAGAGAGACCACTATCTTAAAGTTGCTTTCAAGGTAGAGGTCTCTCAGAAGATGCTGGTTTCCCCAGGTCCCTGTTCTACTGTAAGAAAACAAGAACATCTCCCAGGTGAGAGAGCAGTTACCTTAAGAATCTATGTCCACTACTGCAGTAGTAATCTCTTCTAAACACTAAGAAATCTGTCATGTATTTGATTTGAACCAGTATTTTCCTGATCATTGTTCTGTTGCATTCAGCATAATTCTCTGAACAATCTTCTACTCTCACACCCTCTGCAGCCATTAGCAACATAGATTTTGCCATCTCCTCAGCGTGTGCTGAGCAGTAACCCTGTTGTAGTTGACATGCAACATTTGCAGCTGCACTGATGATAATTGTGCCCACTGCTGTCAGTACCATTTCTGGTTCTCAGATGTGCAGTAAACAAGCATTTTCTTTTTTTGCTCATGCACATGACAGTTCTTCAAATTCTATTATTTTTCTGTACTGGTTTTGGTGGGGCTAGAGTTAATTTTCTTCGTAGTAGCTCATATGGTGCTGCCTTTTGCATTTGTGATGAAAATAGTGCTGATAACACACTGATGTTTTGGTTATTGCCAAATGGTGCTTACACAGCATCAAGGCCTTGAGAAGATGGGAGGGAACGCTGCTGGGACAGTTGACCCCAACTGACAGAAATGGGATTCTGCACCATATGATGTCATGCTCAGCAATAAAAGCTGTGGGGAAGGAGGATGAAGTTGAGGGATGTTCAGAATTATGTTTTTTGTCTTCCCAAGTAACCATTATGCATGATAAGGCCCTGCTTTTCTGGAGATGGCTGAGCACCCGCCTGCCCACGGGAAGTGGTGAATGAATTCCTTGTTTTGCTTTACTTGCACACGCAGCTTTTGCTTTACGTCTTAAACAGTCTTTATTTCAACACATGAGTTTTCACACTTCTACCTTTACACTTCTCTCCCCCATCCCACTGGGGAGGAGTGAGTGAGCAGCTGTGTGGTGCTGAGCTGCCTGCTGAGGTTAAATCATGACATGTCCCAGAGGCAATAGTCAATTTGGTGAGTTATCTGAAAATGCACCATGGTTCTCCCTCAATTTCCCTACTTTTGCCGAAGGATACAGTGGATTTCCTAACCTTATTCTTAGAGAATATCTGTTTCTTATCCTGACCTGGATAGTGGAAAAGGTGACGTGTTATGCTATGATGCTTTGGTAAAAAAGAAGATACCGTTTTTCTTTGTCTGTTTGGTTTCCATTAGCAAATAGGTGACCTACAGAGAGTACTCAAGCTGACACCTTTGAAGGGCACCATATTTTAAAACAAATAAAAGGAAATCTACTGTGTGTTATAAGCAATAATCAATAATTAAAAGCCTTGTTAAAGCATTGCTGCAGAGTACTTCAGAAGAAAAGTAGTTATACTGCATTTCATGGTTAATTCAATGTCAATTAGCTGATTGTTAACTTCCCTCCAGCTAAATCTTGTTCAGCACAGAGAAGAGAAATCAAAAGCATTCTAGCTTTAACAAGCCTAGTGTTTCAATCATTCATCTCTGCCCGCAGGCTCAAAATCAATGTCAACAGACGTTTCATTGCAATTTTATCAGCCATTTCTGCATGTCACTTTTCTTGGCTGCCCTGATTGTCCCTGAAAACGCTCTGTGGGAATCAGAATTCATCCTGAGCAGAAAGCTGAGCAGACTGCACTTACTCTTCTCTATCTCACGGCTGGGTTGCCTTTCATCTGGGTAATAACGAGTGCCGGTGTCCAGCCGAACTTCCTAAAGGGCTCGGTACAGCCCTTTCCCGTGGGAAGGCCCGCAGGAACCTGCCTGCTCCGCCAGCCACGCGAGCGCAGCCTGGGGTCGGGAGCGGCCCGCGGCCCGCCCGCGCCTGGCCGCTCAGCACCGCGGACAGCGCCGGGCCCCCCGCGCCTGGCCGCTCAGCACCGCGGACAGCGCCGGGCCCCCCGCGCCTGGCCGCTCAGCACCGCGGACAGCGCCGGGCCCCCCGCGCCTGGCCGCTCAGCACCGCGGACAGCGCCGGGGCCGCCGCCGGGGCCGCCCGCCTCTGCCCCGGGCAGCGGCCGGGCAGCCGATTTCGGCACGCACAGAGACAGCTTTTAGGGTGCGACTGCCTCTTACAGCGTGAAGAAATGGAGGGGGGGCCCTCCGGCACAGTTCTTCTACCCAGACGTGCTTAAATTGCCCATAGGAAATTGTGCCAAAAAACAACAGGTGACCGTATAAAATTTGTAAGACATCACAGGCATTCCCATTTGCTTCGCAATGACTTCACTAATTGTGCGATTCACATCTGTGAAAAGTATCAAGAACAAGAGCTAGGCTGAAGCCTGAAGGCAGATGCTAGTGGTGCTTGGGTCTTGCCTAGCTGTTACAGGACACGAGCTGATAACAGGCTGCTTTCTACCTGCAGAGGTTCTGACTGCTGTACTCATACTACAAGCAATGTAGTATGGCATGTTACACTCAGGAATGACACAGGAGTGGTAATTCATACCTCTTGTTGATTCCAGACCTGGTTTGTGGTGCTTCAGCTTCACTCCTGTCTTACAGCAGTGTAGACAATAGATCCACAAAATGCTTTTCATCTTCCGTGATTGATATGGAGGTTGCCTCATTAAGGAAAACATTATTTTGGATTTAGAAATGCACGCCATTTTCATCTTCTTGTTGTACAACAATGGTATTATAGATCTGTCATAAAACAACCAACCTTCTGGAAACTTAAAATTATACTGCAGCATGGACTACTGTAAATGCTACAACATTCTTTTCTGACCTTTGTGCTGGCTTTTCATGCTATTAAATAATGTTGTGCTGCAGCCAAGCCCTCAGTCCTGCCTTTTAAGATATGCTACCTAATCTACAACTCTGGGTTGAGGACCTCTGTCGTCTGCTCTTTAGGCTAAATGAAACCATCCATTACAAGGCAGAGTCTCTGTCTTCAGAGAAATTTTTAAGGTTTGGCTCACACTTTTGGATGCTGCTTTTCAGGAGGTACAAACAGATAGCATTTGACTTGAAGCTATCTCCACTGTTGTGTCTCCTGTCTTTAGTCTGTGTTGTAGAATTCTTTCTGGAGCATTGCATTACGTTTTTGCTCATTTAAATTCTGTCTGGAAAACCTGCTTTTGTGACACTCACAGTATGATATTCAGTAGTGCTGCCTGTTCTCTTGATTAAAAAATATAATTGACAAAACCAGTTTGTATGAGTCACCTACATTTCTAGTTGCTAGAACTCTTTTATTCCTTCATTCGTTCACTCTGACATGATTAGTGGTTAGACAGGGTGTTTGTGGATGTGGATCTCTATGACATGCCTAGAAAACTGTGCATCAGTTCATTCTAAAAGGAGATATATGTGGATTGCCAGAACTGGATCTGTGTGTGTCTCTTCCCTGTTTTGGGGGGTATGGCTGGGGTTAGATTTTTGTTGGTTGAGTTTTTTTGAGGCAGGGGAGGGGGTGTTTTGTTTTGGTTTGGTTTGGTTTTTTAAAAAAAAAGTAACCTTTCAACTCAGCTGCTTTTCCCCTCTTTTTTTCCCCTCAAAAAATAAGCTCATGTACCATAATATAGGTATCAGTTTTACTTGTGTGATGTAATTGAAAACTAAATTCTAGCAACATTGTTATAGATGCTTAAATATGCGAGGGCTATGGAATTACTACCCTTGAAATGACCTCTGATTTATGTTCATATAGACACCTGATTTTCAGTGCTATTTTAGATATCGTTTTAGACGTTAGATTTGTTTCTACCTCACAATGACCCAAAACAATGAATGTTTAGTTCCAGTTACTCTTGCCCTTGTCATTATTTTTGTGGCTCTCTTAACAGTTTTTTTCACAGGGACCAGTAGTGGGCCATGAAGAAAAGGCTATGTCCTATTAGCGTGCTGCTCATTAATACAGTGAATTAATGTGGATTTATAGCAAAGAGAAACCTTTATTTTCCCAACTGAGAAGTCTTCCTTACCCATCATTTTCTGATTAATTCTGTTCCCCTGTCCCCATGGTCAGTTTGAAACTGTCATCATCAACCATCCACTGGGCAACCTAGCAAAAGCAGACCACAGATAGGATTGACGTACTCATAGCTCAGTTCGGAAATAACTTGGCTGTAAAAATCTGTATCAGAAGATGAGACAGACCACCTGAAAAAAATAAATTATTGGCCCTGTAGGGTAGAATATATATACTCCTAGTGTGTATTATACTTACACTTTTGAAAGAACTGATTCACTTTTGGGGTCTGTGGCTTTCTGCCTGCTTGCTTCAGGAGCAGGGTGTACCAGCCCAGCACCTGGTAGGAAGAGTGGAGTCACCATTGTAACCCTTAACACAGGAATTGGTTCTTCAGCTGTTATCCTCATTCACCTTCGACAAAATGACTTAGTGAAATGATGTGACCTAAATCTCCTCACCAAGATTAAGAGAAACTTGGCGTCTGTCCAGGCAGCATTTGGTCAGTGTTACTACTGAGGTAAATGGGAGCCAAGCCAACAAAATTGAGGCTGTTTCTGCAGCATAGAGATGTTTGCTAACACGGACACAATGCCTGCAGATTACATAGAAGTTCATTAATTTTGATAATGGGCAGGAGACCCACTCTGTTGCTCCAGTTTGTGTCATGTTGTTGGGGAGGCATCTACAGACAGGCAAAATAAAGTACAGGTCAAAACAAACCCACACTGTTATACCACTTGTGTCTGAAAAGCTGAATTCCACAGTTGGTCTTACAACAGTTTCAAAAATGTTTGCCCTAATGGTTAGCATTGAGTTTCTGATTCTGTTTTCCCAATTTTATTGCAGGTTTGATGATCACTTTTGTGACACTTCTATTTGAATGGGGCCCCTGATAACACTGATGCAGAGGAAGAGTCCGGTTCAGGTACCTGCTAATCAGAAAGTCCTTCATCACTGAACTACTTTTCTCTACTTCTTTCTTTTTTTTTTTTTTTTTTTTTTTTTTTTTAAGAGAGTAGATGCTTTCATTCTGTCATAGTAAGGTAGAATATTGTTGCCTTGATAAAGTTTTGCTTATGTAGTACTGTTCCATGCTGCCTTTCCCTTGCTTTTGGATGTTTTGCTTGACCCCCTCTTAGATGCCCTTGTCCTTTCTTCCCATGTTAGAATCAGAGGTAAGCATGTACCATGAGAATTCCAGAGCACGGCAGCTTTATAGCTTCATAATGTGTAAATTCATATACCAGTGTCTGACCCTAGAGTCAAATAGGAGTTCAGAATGGGAAACAGGAGCGAGAGACTTCTGATTGCTTCGGTTCAAGAAAAATCCTTTGTAATAGAATTTTGGTAAAGTACATACAGATAACATTAAAGGTCTAAGCTAAACAATGCTGCATGATATTAGGAATTAGAGCTAAAGCAAAGTTTCCAAGGACCTATTCTGTTGGATAGCAGATTTCTTTCAAGCTACAAAAAGTTAAGTTCATGTGTTGTACTGGGTCTCCAGTCACACAATACCTATGAACTAGGCTTACTGGTATTCAGCCTTGCAGCATGCCTTTACAAATGGGGGAGGGGGGGTGGATAGGAAGGATGATGTGGACTGGAGGTGAATCAGAGGTTGCTATTTCCTCCTTAGATTGAAATAAGCTGCATGACATGGCCCCTCTCTCTCTGAAAACATGAATGCACATTATCAGGGTTGTAGCAGCAACAATAATAGGACAGGATTGATGGGGAATAAACATGTCCCACAAGGCAAAGGCAAGGGTGGGGGAAGAATATGAATTGACCAAATGCAGTTCTTGAGTTTTGTCATCTTAAAACACTGATATTCACTAGGTTGTTTTGCAAATATTCCTTCACTGGAATGGTGTTGCACCTTAGCTTGATCCTAGGAGCATATGATACTTCTTTTGGTTTCTCTCATACTTGTTTTCCAGTGCAGCATCTCAGTTCAAACTGTGGCTGCATGTTTTTTGTCAGGAGATGCTCCTGGTGCTTATAGAACCTAGGTAGTAGGGTGTGAACCACACGACTGGGGCCTACAAGTGCCACCAGAATACTAGCAATACCAGTGAAGTTACCCAGGTTTCATTGTCAGAGTTCCATTTCTCCATGATTCTGTCTCAGAAACAGCTGTAATCAAGGCTTCTGTCAAGAGCTTATGCTAAGAAAAAGCTAACGTGCAACAGTGCAAAAAAAAAAAAAAAAAAAATGTGCACACCAAAACACTCCAAAATTAAAAAATGTTTTTCCTCAGAAAGACACCAATGTTGTTGCCATTGATGGAACCAGCAGTTTCCCCTGAACTTCATACTGCATCAGCCTCTCGGTAGGCACACATCTGTATCTTTGTGCAGACATATCAAAAACAGTATTTGTTTTTCTAGTATACACTTGTAAAAAGAAAGAACCAGTCCCTTGTGGAAGGACATCCCTGTGAGCTGACAAGAGCCATCCTTACTTTTCAGGTTCTAAGAAGTGGTGTTTTCAGTGCAGGAAGCCAATTCTTGTCCCTAAGGATGTCTTTCTCTCAGGGCTGAAGAAACAACAGCCAACTTCTTTTTAGCCTAAATTAGCTGAGGATAAAGAAAATTAAACACTGGGAAAAATTCTGAGGGAAACAAAAAGGGGGGAAGAAAAAAAAGGAAACTTTTGAGAATAAAATAATATTCTCCTATTTAGATTTTCCAATTTCTGGGACATCAGGCTAAAAATAGGTGCCTTTTCCTATTAAGAAAATTGCTTTCACTTTCCTGAAATGAACATAGTTCTGTTTCTAATGATGGAAGAAGTTGAGTGTAGCTGCTGAGTAGCTGGAGTGGGGATCCGACTATCAGTGCGTCACTAGCTAAATGTGATTTGAGATGCAGTTTTCTTTTCTATATCTCAGATCTCAGGGCTAAACCACAAACTGTACATGACACAACTAAATTAATATTTAAAAATAATTACTTGCTGCCTGAAGGTAAACAGAAAAAGGGTAAATAATTGATAGCACTGGGACTGCCACACTGTAAGTCTGCTGAGCGTTTATGATGTGCTGTGAAGGTTCAAAGGGATTGCTCATCTGCTGCCTCTGAAGGAGGGTTTTTGCTAATCATTCCAGGGCTTGTTTTGTCAGCCAGCAGTGTTTTCAGAGTTTGAAGCACCAGAATAGAATGCCAGCTTAATTTAGGTGAATCTCTAGCTTAATTTACTAACTTTCCTTCCAAGATTTGCATTGTAAATGATAAGGTGATTTTCATATATATAATTTTTTTTTTTATCCCATCAACATCTGAAGGGAAATTTCATGTGGTCTGCTGCCAAGAATGTAGAGTAACTTGCATTTAAGGAGTGCTTACATAACATGCCACCCTATGACAGTACTTGTCTGCAGAGCTTGGCAGTGCCTTGATAGTTGGCAGCTATTCACTTTTCAATGGTGAATATCCCTTCTCTTATAGAAAAACATCAGAATAACCAGCATTCAAAGTGGCAGATGACCATAAAGGTCGGTGATTTCAAGTTGATTCATTTTCCCCCTCAGTCAGAAAACTTCTTGCACTAATTATTACATTGACAGTTAAAAAAAAAAAATGCTGTGGCCACACAGGACTTCAGTTTTCTGGTGTTAAAGCAAAGGATAAGAAACTAAACTGGCAATATATGTGAAGAGTCAATAGCTGCAGGTCTACACTGTATTTAAATAAGGTGCCATACACCCCTATGGGAAAGTGATCGTTAGATAAAACTTTTGAAGAAAGAAAAAACAAGCAGATGCTAGGATCTATCAGCAGTGCCAGCTGGGCCACATGATCAAATGATTCTCAAAGTGTTATTTGCAATACATATTTTACTCTGTGCTAAGGATGGGAACAGGGGTTCTCGTCTTTGTGCCCAGTCAGACCTCCAGTAATGGCAGCTACTTTACCACCTAGCACTGCATCACACTTTACTTTCATTGCTTGAAAATGCAATCTAAGCTCTCATTTGGATTTTGCAAAAAAAATCAAATACTGTACTAAGGTGTACAAGCATAAGCGTCCTTTGAAGACATGCAGTAATTCTTACAGTTTATCAAACAGCAGTAAGGCTTTAAGTGGAATCCATGAGACTTTCTTCCAGCTGATATACATCTGGAAGCGAACAGTAAGAACGACTAAATAGAAAACTTGATGTGCAAAGATGGACTGACAAAAGTATGTTCTTCTCAGTCCAGAGAAGACAAATGGGAAACAGTAGAACAGCCATCATATGTGTAAAATGTTGCAGCAAAGAGGAGAGAGTGCTCTGTTTTCCCATATGTTTCTTATAATGGCTTAAACTGGGCTGGGAAAAAGGGAAATGCTTCTGATGGTAGGGATAGCTCACTGGTAGAGCAGATTGCTGGTGGGTGAGGCTGTGGATTCTCTGTCACTGGAGATTAACGGCACGGCAAACAAATATGGTCTATAAGGGATGACTTTAAGAGTACCTTAGTCCTGTCTCTCTTCCAGCCCTGGCAGACCAGAGCTAAATAATTGGGACACAAAGAAGCTGAGCACTGAGTCTCAAGCAGGACTCTGTGTATTGGGTCCAAGCTCAATGTTTGTGTGAAACATACTAGGGGAAGTGAGGTTGCCAGTTTTCATATTTTATAACCTCTATTGCAGCATTTGGATATTCTTGTATGTCCTAGCTCCACAGGTCCTTACCAGAGAATCCCTATTCTTATTCATAAAAACACTACTAGTTTTAGTGCTCCTGGTTTCAGAGGAAGGCCTGAAAGTGTGGCTGTCTACAGCCAAGAGGTTCAGAAAGCAGAAGGCAGCACATCTCTGATATGCTTTCATTATATCACTGGTGGGGCAGGGAACTCCTGCTTTTTTGTGTTTGGGGTTCCCAATGCAAGGAAAGGCAAAACAATGACAACAACAAAAAAAAAAAAAAGAGAGAGAGAGAGAAAAAAAGTCTACTCTGAACTCCATTCCAACATTCAGGTCACCGCCCTTCTCCTTTCTTCCCCACACCCAAGACCACACACTTGCACTTGCACCTCCAGGCATGCATGTCTGCCTGCCAACACAGAGGAGGTTACCGATCTCATCACAGTTCTGGTTATCTTTCAAAGAAAAGTGTCCTAAAAGAAACCTCAAGAGCTCAGTGGTACAACCCCACGCCCTGCCACGGAGCATGGCCACACTGAGCTGCACACAGGCTGTGGAAAGGAGAGCATTTTTTCTTGTTGGGAAAGTGGCCATTGGGTTTTATAGGAATAAGCAGCTAGAGGCAAGTCACTGTTGTTAAGGTGTTTGCTGCTTTAAGGGAATGTGAAGCACTGAGGCAGACTGGGGCATCTCTGCCCAGTACAAGAATCATAAAGGGAATTTCATTTTTCTTATCTTTCTCTGAAAAGTTATTTTATGTCATTTGCAAGAGTGTTTTATGACACCCAGGCCTTTGTTGTATTACCAGCTTGAGGAATAGGAAAATGGGGGTTCTTTCTTGAACACTAATGTGAACAAGCACAGGAGAGACCCAGGATCAAATTACAGTATCTGCTGATAGCCAGATGTCCACCCAGGGGCTCTAGCCCTTCTGTTCTCTCTGTGAGAGCTTGCTGCTCTGCGTAGGATGTCAGTTTTTAGCTTATTCATCTTTTCTGTCTCTGAAAGAAAGTAGGTAATAAGGTGTTCAGAACTGCTGCTGAGTCAAACCAGAGGTTCAGTCCACTTTTCCAACAACTGGCCCAGCAAGGTCTGTGTTTCAAACACCCATAACACATATGACAGACACGGTTTGGCAGGTAATGAACAAGCTAAAGCTTCCTCAGGTACCAGATTACAGTTTACATTTATTTCCTAATACATTTTACCTCCCACATGGACAATACCTACCCTAGTAAGAGCCACCCTGCTGTAGTTCTGCCTTGTAGACTACTGTGAGTATAGATAGATTCACTTGGAATGGGACAAGAAGGGGATATTTTCTCCTTCTGCTTAGAGAGGAATGCTTTTCTAAACTGGGCACTTAGTACTGGACAAGACTGATCCTTCTTCAGCAAGTTCCCATCTGACCAGTCTGACAGACAGATGGTGAAGGAAGAGCCTGGAAGGATCCCTTTATTGTAAATTGTAACTAGGTCTTGAATACAGGAACACTTTTTAAGACTTCCATCAATTGCTGAAATAATTTCTGCAAAGGATTTCAATCTGGAGTAGTAAGGTAACGTTCTTGTTCTTCTCCAGCTCGTAAATACAGATACTTAAAATTCAGTCTTTTCTAGGAACTTATTCTCAATACTGTATTGAAGAAGGCCTTTTATAAAGGATGCGCTCATTCATGGTAAATATTACAGACACAGAGGGAATTCTGCTTTTTTAAAAAAAAAAAAAAAAGACATTTGCAGAAAGCATTATGCTTTTTGAAAAACTGCTCCATTTTGCAGGACTGGTAACAATATTTCTGTCAAAAAGGAAAATCTCAGGGAATAGCTACTGGACTGAACACTACATTGGTTTGTCTTTAACAGAGAATACATTGGCATTTCTACAATGAATGGTATTGCTAATGTGAATTTTGTTTGACTAGGAGATTTCAGCCAAGGTAGTAATTTGGTGTATTATGAGGTTAATCCTGTAGAAGGGGCAGTAGTGAAAATAGCTACTGAACGTTGATTGAATCAAAAACTAAGAGCTATCACCTTGAAAAGAACTTGCCTTGAAAACATTGAGGCTTTTGGGGCTGTATGCCAGCAGCTGTGAAGCCAGCCATCCCAGTTAAGCTTCCCAGAGAATGCAGTAATACATGCAATAAAGAGATTTTGCTAGTGAAATACCCACTTGTGAACTGTTCATGGGTATAAGAAAAATGGATCTGAAGGCTTGCCACCTGAATTCCCTTCCTCTCTCTCGATAGGTTATCAGCATGAAAACAGGAAATGAATTGGACACCATTAATAAAACATGAACCCTTCGTGTTCAGGCTCTGTGCTCTGTCGTTCAAGTGTAGAAGACACTGTGAGAGGGAAACAGGGGAGTCACATCCACAAGTTCATTTACTCTCTTTAACTACACAGCAAACTTTGGCTCAGATGTGGAACTAAACCTTTGTTTTCTTCCCCTGAATTTATTGAAAATCTTTTAAACCCTCATACAGATGTCCTGAAGGATTGTTACTGAACTGTGAGTAGTCTTTCGGAACATAAAAGATCTTCCTAATAGATTTCACCAATAGTTAGATATTGCCAATACTATTTTTTACTCAAAAGTATCTTTCACTGTGGTGTAAATTTTTAGGTCTTGTTTTTGTGCAATTGCTTTTGGAGCTGTTTGTGTGGCACAGATTTTTTTTCACTGTGATAGCTGCCCTTTTTTTGCCAGTCCCTTATGTTTGTGATTTTAGGAATGTCCCCAGATATGTACCTTGCTCTCGTTTGGGGGCTCATTTTTCTAGAGGGGAATGTATGATTCATCTGTCTCCTAAAAATGTTTTCCACAAAGGATAAAGGATTAGACTCAGAGAATAGAGGTCTATATGAAGTAGACTGAAAGACCCCGCCACCGCCAGCACCGCCACCTTTTCTGTCTGTATTGTAAAACCCTCTCATGAAAGCTTATGGTCACAGCAGTATGCAACCCAAAGATGAGAACTCAAACCTGTTATGAAAAAGTCATGGGAACAGAAGTAGAAGACCCAGTTCAGCCAGACAGAGAGGCCTTCTGCAGCTATAATAAAGGCTTGTTTTGCTCTATGGAGGAGTTTAATTGCAAAATACTTAGCATAGGTGAATCATAAGGAGCCTAACCATAGGAAGAGGTTAACCACAGTTGTAGGAAAGATTCATCTGAGGCTACAGTAAACAAGTTCTTGGTGGGAAGAAACCAGAAGACTCTCCTCAGCTGTGGACAGGCCCACTCCTGAAACTCAAAGGTTGAGTTGTGAGTCCAAAACAGGAATTCTCCTCCTAACCTTAGATAGTTCTTTTAGGAAATAGCCAAGTACAAGGTCAGGTGGAAAGATAAGATGTTTATCGCTAGTGGGAATTTTTGTCAGGCTGCTGTGGCTGGACCTACCAGTTCATCTCCCATGGAAGACAGTGCTTCATAGTAAGGTCTACCACAACTGTAAGTGTAACCTGGGGATTATTAGCACTTCCATATTTTTGAACAAACTGATTTATTCTCACTGTTAAATAAATGTGGAAGCACTGCTTCCTGGATCCTGTCAGGAGCAAAAGGCTCCAGTCTCAGAGATTTTAGGCCAGGTCCAGACTCCTTTAATTATTTCTGTTGAGTCTCCTTTGAAATAACCTGTTTGCTAGATGTACCTCTTGCTTAATTCCTGAAATGTAGAAGTAAAACCTCAAACTGGGTGAGAAACCTGGACAGTGAGACAATCCACATTCGGCAAAGTTACAAATTCAGTGCTACAGTTCAACTCAATTAAACATAATTTTCTTGGCTGCCATCTACAAGTTTGATGATAGGAAATTGGATTTGACTCATTATAATGCAAAGGGGCAGTTTGGTGAATGTACATTTTCAGCCAAAATCATTTGTCAACTAACAGAGTAGAATTGTGTTTTCATTGAAGTTTACGTTGCCATTTGGTATACTTGTTTTTGCTGTCTGGCTCCATTACAGCTGCAGCCAAGCTTTAATTCTCAACTGTTTGAAGTTATTCAGTCTCATGAAAGATATGCCAGACAATTCATTGGACAATATTCAAAGTATTAGTGAGGTTAATTCTAATTGCACAGGAGGATCTATATTAACATTTCTGTTTCAACACATGTTTTGTTACTTGGGTTTTAGGCTATATGAATTGGTTTTCTACATGATTGCATTTCTGTTGTCAGAATGTGTAAATATGAAATATTAAAATTAGTGTACAATCAGTTCATATGCCAAAGAAATGAGATCCCTTTGGTTGTGTCAGAATATTTTTGGAAAAATTCGGAGCCCTCAGAATGACAATCTGAAAAAAAAGCTTTGAAACCATTCTTTCCTCTCTGAAGGTTTTGTCTGAAAATGCACATTTCCAGTGTTCCCATCCAGCTCCAGCCAGCGCTTAGGGCCACGGCAGCACCCAAAGACAGCCAAGGTGCTGGCAATAGTCCCCGGGGTGCTGCACCCAGCGGGGGTGCTGGAAGCCACGTAGCAGCCCCGCTCCAGCGTGGGGGGCGTGTGTGTGCCCAGGGGCTGCGTGCCCAAAGGCGTCGGGAGGGGGGCGTCCCCCTGGAATGGGTGCAGGCAGAGCCACAGGGCCAGGCATGAGCTTCAGAGGAAACACAATAAATGGGCCCTTTCTGCCTGTTGGTCTGTGCACGGGTGTGCAAGTCCACGTGCCCTCTCACCACTGACTCTTGCGTGGCTTCCATCTGAGCAGAGTCTTGCACTCTGGGGACAAACAGCACCCAGTAAACGAAAAGGGAGATGTTGAAGGCAGAGAAGCACTGCTCGGGAAAACCTCTTTTGGACGAATCTTTCCTACCCAAGAACCACCTTCTGTTTGCAGTGTGAGGTTACTGGGAAAAGAAATTGGAAAATTCTGTGAACAGTGAAGAATAATGCACCTGAAGCCTTGCTGTTTGGGATCAGCTGAGTGGAAGTCTGAGTCAACACGATCAATTGAGTGGAGGTCTAACTGGGTGTGTTCACGGAGGGGTGCCTTAATATGATTGAGGGAATGTGGGATTGAGCATGATTTATTGAGAGTAATTGGGTATTCAGTACTGGAGTAGGAACAGGAGTCACTTAGATCAAAATACAACAGCATCTGGTGCTTGCTGCACATACATTTTTCCTGGAAGAAGAGATAGATAGAAATAGCCTGCATTACCCCTTTAGAGAGTTTTCTAAATAACATGTTTATGTTTTCTTTAAAATATGAGTATGTTAAAAGTCCAAACGGTTCTTGCTGAAAATGATGCCTCTTAAATTACCAGTGTCCACTCATTTTCCAGGTAGAGGTACTAGGTACCCAGGGCCATTTGGAAACCACTAGCAGATGACTAACAATCAGGGAAGCCTGGGAAAGACCACTCGGTCCTGCCAAAGGGTCTGAACCAGGCCCTTTTGCTGCAGTCATTCCTTGCAACTTTCCTGCTAACACCGCACCTGATTTCCTTGTAAGTATTTCCTGTGACTAAGTTTTTTGCCTTTCCCTGTAGGAGTCTGTTTTATGCCAGACAGTTTTTGTAGTTTGTTTTTTTGCTTTTTGGTTTGTTTTTTGGGTTGGGTTTTTTTTTGCGTCTATCCTAAACTTTTCCTTCCCTCGCTCCAGGTCAGTGCTCACGCTGGTGTCTCCTACCTCTCCCTCTCCTCATCCTGCTGCTCATTCACATTAACTGCAAGATAATTAGAGACTGATCCTGTCCTCTGAGTCTGACTATGGCTTAAATCCTACCCTCCTGCAGCAAACCCCACTGAGATCCTCAGATTTGGTTCTTTTGGGGCTGCTCTTGCTGTTACATCTAGTTCTCAGCACAAAGTTCTTTGATATTATAATGTTGTAATGGCAGGAGACCCTGGTTAAGCAAAAACAGAACCAGCCCGCCCTCCCTCCCTCTGGGGGTTGCAGGTTATTAACAGAGCTTTGCTCAGCTGAGCAACATGGGACCATAAGGTCTCTGCCCACATTCCTGTCTTGCAGCTTCAAAATTCTCATACTATTTAAAAAATCAGGAGCAGGGCAGCTTATATGGTCCCAGCAGATCCTCATCCTGGCATGACTGCTGAACTTTTGAAGTCAGAGGCTCACAAAATCCTGTGGTCCATCTCTGATCTCCAAGAGGAACAAGACTGGGAACTAGATCCTCTGTGGGGTCAGCTTGTACCCCGCTACTGGCTTGGCACATCCAGCTCCAAGGGGCACACCACTCCCTTGATGCCCATGCCTGTCAGAGAATCCTTGCTGTGAGCGCAGAGCCCTGCCTGCTTGCTAGCCAGCCTCCACCTCTGCTCTACCCCATGGAGACTTTTTTGTTTAGTGTTACTTGCTTTCGTTACGTTCATTATGCAGTATTAGTTCAACTGTTTTATCAGAATAGAAAAGAACTCTATCATCTGCAAAATCAGTGTCTTGAGTGTCTTGCTTGGCAGAACCTACTTTTAATCAGCCCCTGTTACACAGTAGTTGTTAGACCTTATTCCCAGGTGTTTCACACTGTTTACTCCACGGTGTTGTGTGGAGCTGATACCAGGTTGAGTGGTTTGCAATTTCTTGCTTCTCCTTTTCCTGGTCATCCTGACAAGCAGCAAAGTTACTTCACGTGCTCACTTCAAACCCTCCAAAACTCATGCTGACTGTTCTCAGCACTGGGAATCCTGCCAGAGCTTTATCCCCATCCTATACTCTCCTTTTTGTTACATGGACTCCTCTTTAAGTCACATTGACAAGAGGCACCAGATCGGTGACAATTCTCAGCCCTATGGTGGGGACAGGCAGCAGCATTGGAGCCAGATGAAGAGTTTGGTGCTTTAGAACCAGGTCTCGATGGTTTGGGATCTTTCCATTTGAAGGCCTCTGGCACATTAAGAGCCCTCCCCTGAGTTTTTAATCCTCTTTCAAGCTGCTGTAATAAACCTCTTTTTCAGTTGGCTCAGCTAGTAGTCTGTGGTGGGTCTCCTGTGTTGTGCACATGCGTGCCCTGAGACCTGGACTGAGCATCACCAAACTCCTCCCGCACACACACTGCAGAGAAGCTGCTGGCCCGCTGTGCGCTGTGGAGTGGAGTGGATCTGGCAGCCGTGGCTGAATGACTAAAAGCTCCGTGTCACATATGCAACCTGCCATGCAGCCTGCTGTGCTGGAATTACGGCCCTGTGCAGCACCTAGGATTTGTCTCCAGTAAAGCAGGCTCTGCAGCAAGGCTTGGCAGTGCATCTCACATCATGCACAGCATAAACTGGGCGCAGTCCAAGACTTCCACATCTGCAGCTGTAGCATAACCAAGGGAGGAAATCCAGGAGGCTGCATCTCCCTGAACAACAGCACCACTTACAGCCTGGTCTCAGATGCCAGCCTGGGGCTGGAGCCACAGAGCAGCAGTCTGCCAGCACCAGGGAGGAGGCTGGTGTCTGGTTTGTCTGTGTGCCTCCGGATTAGTCCACCACAGCTGAGCCCGTCCAGATGCTTCTCAGTGGCATCTGTGGCCTACAGCAGCCTGTGCTGACCATGGTCTCTGCTGAGTGGCTCCTCCTGCCCGGGAGTGTCTGGGGCATTCAGCTCAGCAGGGTGCCTGTGCCCTGGACAGAGTCTGAAGAGTGGGCCAGGGATTTGAGCTGCTGCTTAAAAACATTTCCTTGGAAAGCTTCTAGCTGCTGCCACAAAGAAGGTGCCTAACCAACAGGAGCAAACATCGTTTGTGTCTTGTTTTGCCATAGTCTAGGACAATGGCCTGCCAGACAGTTGCCTGGACATACTTTCTGTCATGAACCTGAGATAGCTGGAACTGAGGGTCAGACTTCAGCCTCTTCCAGACAATCCCAGTAGCAGAAAGTATCTGAAGAATCCCGCAGACTCACACCCAATTTTCAAGGCCAGCATTTCTCCCAGCTCACACAACCCTGCCCAGGAGGCTAGCAGGGTTACATTATCTGGAGTTTGAATCTGGACATGAGGAGGCAGGTGCTGGAGAAAACAGGCAGGTACATGAGCAGTCAAAGGCAAGAGCAAGCGTTTCAGGTCTGCACACTCAGCACATTGCATCCCATCCAAGCAGAGCTGGGGATGTTGGAAGAAGTGAGACAGGGAACAACTGGGGATGTCTTGCAGGGCTTCTGCCAGGCTGAGCACCAGGAATAAAGCAACGTCAGTGGTCTGTGAGACAGGGGAAGGGAACTGCTTAAGGTGAGATTCAAGAATCAACAGGAAAATTGTTCTAGAAAAAACAAAGCACGTTTGGCTGCACTTCCTGAGGGCTGTGAGGAGAGACCCTATGGCCCCTGTGTGTTTTCCACCATTGATGGAGACACACGAGTCTCAACAGACCAGCTTGAGGGAGGATGATCGCCCCTGGAGCGGGCGTCCACGGGAGGCACCGCCGGCGAGGTTCGGCAGGGCAGGGTGTTCAGCGCAGTCCCTCACAAGGGTCGCTTTTGAGACTATTGTCGCTCTAACTCATCTGCTTTACAGGAATGTGTAGGGCAAAGCACAAAGTTGGAGGCCCACAGTGCCAGGCAAGCTTCTGTGGCTCCCCTCCTTCGGCGCGGTTTATCACAACCTGCAGCAGCTGTAGGGAGAGCTGCCCACCCCTCCTGCAGGTCAGTGGCTGCTGGAAAATGCTCCTCACGGGCCCCCACGTCCTCAGTGGGCTCATGGCTTCCTGCTGCCCCCAGGGCTAATGCCAGCCCAGCCGCACAGCAGACCCACCGCTATGCCACCCTGCCCGGGAGAGAAAAAAAACAAACCGAAGTGCTAAGTGTCACAGGAGAGTGCGAGCAGCAAATCCCAGCCAATGCAGATGGGTGTGCCAAGGGGGGAGCACCCCATACCAGACAGGGTGTCTCTGGGGTGCCTGGCGCTGGGGTCAGCACCGTGTCAGGCCTTTGCTTGTGTGTGAGCGTTAACCCTCCAAACGGAGTTTCAGCAAAGAGAAAGTGATGCTTTAAATGGGGGCTTTAAGGGCTGCCCTGCACTGGGAAGAGGCTCAGGCCACGACTGGGTAAATGTCAGGTAAGCAGCAGAAGAGACAGAGCCTGCGCTGGGAAGCACTGCCAACACAAATCTCTTAATAGTCTTTCAGTCTCTGCAAGGCCTTAAAATCAATCAGAGGATTAACTAAGCAAATCTGGTTTTATGATACATGATCCAGCTTTGTGCAATTGGATCTAAGTTTGCTTAGGCCCTCCGTTGTTACCGGGCTTGCTAATGTGCTGCTGGCAGCCTCAGAGCCTCGTGGGGGAACGGCAGCAGCCTGAGGAGCAGGGGGAGCCCTCCTGGGGCAGCCTGGAGGGGTGGGGGTCCCACCGCTGCCAGTGTGACTGGCTCGGGAGGGGTGCCAGAGAGCAGCAGCGTGGCACGGCTCGTGCAAGCCAGTCACTTCCCTCCCATTGGTGTTTTCTCTTAATTCAGCATTTCTTCTTGCAGAAGCTCTCTGAAGGTAAGCCACTGACCCCTTCTCACTAGTTACCATTTTCATGTGGCTTCTGTGACACCTTCTCTCAAAGAACAAGGTATACTTTGCATTTTCCCTTTTCTCTGACAGTAGTGGCTCCTGGGTGGGGATGTTCAGGGCTGAGTTGAAGCCTGCAAGCAGATACACCTTTCTCCTACCACATGCATCGGTAAGCCTCATCCTCAGAGGACCACTTTTGAGATGTCACCAGTGAGGGAAATGACAAGTCTCCCTTAAACATGCACTCTGGCTCCTGGCAGATCAATACTTTTAATTCATTTGATGACAACAGGAGCAATCTGCCCTGCTGACACCAGGCAGCATCTCTGTTTCAAACCAGGTGTAGGAGTGTTTGTTTAGCTTTTGCCAAAGCAGTTTGCTTTCTCTCAGGCTGAAAGTTAGTCCTAGTGACATGTGCGTGAGAGCTCTGTCAGATCCCTGATGGGAGCTCGAATCCCCCTAAACATGCTGTGTCTGCACAGCACAGGCAGATCTGGATGTTTCCACTGTACCTGCTAAGCAGTCATAGTATCAAAGTGATGTGAGGAATAATGAAATATCCCCTCCAGAACTGAGCAGTCTCAGTTTTCTGGCAAAATTCTCCTCGTTTTTTCCAGACTGGCTTCCTCAGACTGCGGCCAGGTTGGTTGGGTCCAGCAATGCAAAGATCGTGATGCAACGTAACACAAAGTGATATCTGGCTGCTGAATTATCCTGCTCTCCAGTATCTGCGCTGACTTGTGAGCCTCACAGCTTTAGGCCTGTCCGCCACCAGGAGTTCACCTATGCAAATTTGCTACAAGAAAATGAGGTCTATAAATAATAGACACCTTGGGCCTGCACGTCAGTACAAGGTAATCCATTGTCTTGCTTAAAACGCATCCAGTTATATTTCATGCTTCTGTGCGAAAGTTAAAAGGAAAGAAAAATACCCAGGACAAAGCCCAACCTTTACTCATCTTCTGACCTGAAAAAAAAAGAGTGGAGGGGAAGTGTTTCTATGCTGAAACTGGAACTGGTCTGCCAGGAAGCCAGCCCTTGGACTTTGCTCTGTGCTAAGGGCTACAGTAAGAAACACTCCCGCTTCTTCTGCCTCCTTTTCAGTGGTTGCCTCCCACCCCTCTGTTTTTTCAGAAGAAATGTGAGAAATCTTATTTATACCATTTGCCTAGCAAAGGGCTACTTTAGATGTTAACAAAAACCAAACTGTTCCTAAATTGTACTGCCTTGAAACCTTTCTAAACTGCATGTATTTGTCTCACAGCAGTTCTTGGGAGGCACTTCTCTCCCAACTGCTGCTTTGGGTGGCCCAGTATTCTTGGGAACACAGGCCACAGAAATCAGGTGAAATTATTTAATTATCTGTCTGTCCTACTTGTCGAAGCACTTACATACCTGGAAAATAATCAGAAATGTGAAACAGCTGATCAAGGGTATAGAATAGCATCCATAGGATGCACAGCTCCATACACTGTGATTCCTCAGCCTGGAAAGAGGTGACTGTGGGACAAAATGATAGCAGTCTCTGAAATCATGAGTAGCATGAAGTCACCCAGAGGGGATTTGCTCACTGGCTTTGGTTCTTCAAACAGAAAAAGGTGGTTCTTCGCACAGTGTGTCATTAATCTGCAGAAATCTTTGCTGCAGAATGTTGTGGATGCTGAAGGTTTACATAAATTTAAAAAAACTAACTGGACAAAGTCATAGAAGGAAAAAAAAAAAAAAAAAAAAAAAAACTAACAGCTATTGAATAACAAATCTTACTTCTGTCATGGGAAATCTCTGCAAACTGGCAGACTCTGGGACAGTATCCTGGAGACGCATTGCTGCAAGCTCTGTGCTGTTCTGACAGTCTTCCCTACCCCTCTGTTGCAGGACAGGGTATCTTTGCTCTGACCTCCTGTAGGCATTTGGTGTTACGTTTCTATGCCTCTCCTCCCCCGTGTTTTCCACCCCATCACCTTTTTCTAAAACTCACAGATTTAGTGTTACAATTAAGTTCTGCACTGAATATATTTTTGCTTTGAGAAGCGTCCAAACAATTCTATGTGAAAGCGCCTTCTGGCTGCCTGTACAGCATTCTGAAAAGGACAAGCCTTTATATAGGCTGGCAAGTCATATAAATAGTAAATACATGGTTCTGAGAATTGAAGTGTCCCTGGGAATCCTGAATCTCTAGTTCTGTAATGGCTTGGTTATCAAACAGATGATTTACATCTTATTAGCTATTTCCAGCTGTTGATAGAAAAATGCTCTATTGCATAATGTTCCTTTTGCTCCTGATCCAGTTCTCGCCATTGCCAGAATTGCTTTTGGGCCCCCAGACCAGCCTGTTTAAACAACCAGCTTGGAGCCAGTGGCACTTTGGGGTGCTCAGTCTGGGGGCGGCCAGCAGCAAGGGCCTTGGCAGAGCCGCTGCCTGCAGGCACCGTGCTGCACGGCGCGGGGGGAGCTGCTGCCTGCGGCTCTGCCCGCTGCACAGCCCCGCAGCACCTGCCCCCGGGGCTCTCTGCTCGCTGGCCTTACTGCCACCCACTTCTGAGAAGGTATTTTTCCAAGCTTGGATGCAAATCTCAGTGGCTTCTTTTTCAGCACAGGTAAGGTTGTTCACTTTTGGTCAAGCCCGTCCAACAGACAGAATCTGTCTTGATTGCAATTGCAGGGGTCCTTTGCAGCCTAGTTGCTTGCAGACGTTCAAACTTGCGGACACCAGAGCAAAAGGACAGTGTGTGCAAATCTGAGCGCGTGTCCCTGTTGCTCTCCTTTTGTGCCTGTTCCACTTCGCCAGTCTGTATGTAGACCGCTCTACCTCTGGAGGATGAACTGAAAAACTAGCAGTGCCAATAGTAATGCATTTGTTTGTTGATTCAAATTCACACCTCAAAAAAACCCTGAGAAGTTTAATTGCTCCACAGTATCCCAGAATGCATAGCTTTGTAGCAATCACTGGGAATATATTATTGTTACATGTAAAACAAAGAAGCTGGAAACTGTATTCAACAGGAAAGCAAAACAGGGAATATTTTAATCAGCAAAACGAGGGGAGAGTGTTGAGATGAGTGAAGAGAGGAGGGAAATACTGGGCTCAATGCCTGACTCCTAATCCCTAAACTGTGTTACTATAGTATTGTGAAAGCCAGGAGGAATAAACCTAATACCACATCTCCTTGCCATCAAGAAACTATGTATTAATACAGTACTGCTAAGGTAATTAACCAAATCAGACTTAGTCCAGTGCTGAAAAGGATTTCTTCCCCCAGGGATAAGCAGATGTCTTAATCTAATTATACAAGTTATTTAATCAGAACCAGAGGTCGGGTATCTAATGAAAATACTACCTAATATGGGGGAGAGAGGTTGTAACTCTGAAGCAGTGCAAGCAGCAGGGGGGATACAAGCTTCCAAACCGGTGCAGTTTCTAAGGCTCTTCTGCCTTGTTTCTATGCACAACTTTAAGTAAGATCTCAGGATAGGAATTTGAAAAAAAAAAAAATCACTTGTGAAAAGAACACATCCTAGCACAAGTTGGTTTCACTGCCTGGTATGGAAAGAAAATTCTCCTCTCAATGTCATCAGTGCTTCACCCACTCACAGTGCTGACATAGGAACAAACAGCTGTGTTTTGCTGGAGGCTGCTGATAGCACCAAGTGTTACGGTTTTCATAGCCTTGCTTCACCTAGGTAAAAACTGTAACAGATGCCTAAAACCTGCCAGTTGTTCTGTGTGCACATAGCTGACAGTGGGTGCACGGTTGTTAACAACTGGAAAGGGGTTGCGGGCTTGCAGGAAGGGTGCTCGCTGTGTTCTCAGGGATGGGCAGAGCCCCTGGACCTATAATTCTTTTGATATACAGGCGACTGAAAAGCAGGTGGAGAATCACTCACACCAGGAAGGCTGTGCTGCTCTCACCAGGAGCCAGTGCATGGGCTTACTGAACAGTCAAAGGATGGGGCGCATGCATGCTCCAGCCCTAAGAAGACAGAGGAGCTGAATCTCTTTAATTTTATTGTAATTGAAACCCAGGTATTCCTAACAGTTGTCAGTAACTTAGCTGCACGTGAGGACCTTTCCTGCATGCTGGGGGTAGCCGCTCCCAGGGGGAGCCATGCAGTCTCCAAGCAGGGCAGCGGGGCTCGGGGCAGGACCACCCCTCCCCGTGCTGGCAGTGCTCACTCCAGGCTCCTGCCCGTCTCTCTCAGTTTAGCACATTCCATAGGTAAGGGTCTTCTCTCTTGATTTCTTCCCCACAGCTTTGCACCTCCACCGCTGCAGCCCGGTTCCGGGTGCCAGCCATGACATGCTGCTCCTCTTGCTGGCTTGCCAGCCCTCTCTGTTCCAGGGCCAGACTGGCCAGCAGTGCCACGTTGCCTAGCGATGCATTTCTGGCTGTCCCATCTCATTAAGCTGCTCGAGCTGCACGCACCCATGGGGGAGTCGGGAGGGAATGCCAGCCCTGGCTGCTTTAATTGGCTTCTTGCATGTGTGTGCACATGCATTGCAGAGTGCCGAGTCTTCCCAGGCAATCGCTGATGGGAAAGGAGTTAAAATCTACAGCTATGTGGCCAACCAGTCACTGCCTGGGAAGCTTTGTAATTGAGGGAGTGTGGGCAGCACCCCCAAAATTAGGATTCTGCCCGTTTTTTTTATCTCCGGGACTCTCCTTCCCCATCATTCCTACCAGCCAGTTTCAGCAGATTTGGCCCCAGTAACACGTGGATGGCAGGAGGAAGCTCCTGCTCCGTGTCCCGGTGGTGAGCGCCTGCAGGCTCCTCTCCAACAGGCGAGCGCCCGGCTGCCGCCCCGTGCCGGGGTCCCCCGGCACTGCACTCAACCGGGGCGCTCAGCCCCTCGGGGACTGCAGGGACATGCGGGTGCCCAGCAGTGCCTGCGCACGTTTGCACCCGCGGCACAGCCTGGCCTCGCTGCCACCGGGTTGCGTGGTCATGACTCCTCCTGAGCAGAAACAACGGAGCCCGGGCAGCGCCAGGCTGGGGACCCACGGCAGGTGTTGCCCTCTGACAGAGAGAAAGGGAGAAAAGAGGAACACCACAGCCACATACTTGTCATTCAGTTAAGTGAAAGTCCAGAAAGATCCAAAAGGCTTTGGGTTTGCTCGCCATCTGTAAGCTTGTCAGCTTGCTGTTGTTTTTATGCTGCCACCTAAAAAATTGTCCTCCTGCCCTTCTGATGCATTAAGAGTTTAAAATAATAGCTTATGATCACATTGATTAAGTGAGGACAGAGGGAGAATGCTGTTCAGCTGAAGATTTCCTTCAGTTATTTAAATGTACATGTATTTTTCTTGATTAGCTTCAATGAAACTTAACCTTGTATTTTGTCCAGTTCAAACAAGTTGATGTGTTTTCTCTGTGGCGTATATATGAAGTGGCATACGTATCTAGAAAAAACAGGCAACCTTCACACGCATTCATTGTTCTGAAGCATAGAGCATCTGTTTATAACAGCCGAACCGAAGAAATACGGCATTTCTGAGCATGTAGTGGTAGACAAATGGGTTGTGATATGCTGTGAGACTGAATGAAAGAGGGGAGGGAATAAAGCGCATAGGCCACTTGAGTTTACGCAGGTACCAATTCCATTCTTTAAGAATCTGCTCCACAGAGACATGTTTGCAAAGTGTGGCTTCTCTTTGTTCATGTAGAAATCTGCACACAAAAACTCATGTGCAAAAATGGTCTGCTTTTCTATTGGCACCTACAAATGTCAAAACTACAAATTGATCATGGTTGGAGGTCAGAGGGTGGTGCATGTTAAATTTTTTTCTATGAGCTTATAGCTGTGCAGAAACAACTGAAGCTGAGGTGAGGCACTGCAGCCATTGCAAATCTGACC